TGAATTTCGCATCTTTGGACTAATTTTGGCTACCTACCGTATGCTGATATTCCTTTTAAAAAGGATATAGGGCATATATTAAAGTAGACAAACCCCTTTTTTGCGAGGGAAAGTAGACTAACCCTTACCGGGGTAAAAAATAAATAAATAGTCTAGAGCAATCCTTACAAAGCCATCTTTATAAAAATTTAAAACAAGATATAGGTCCATGGGAAATGTTATGTGTTGTATTTTGAAAAAAGACATAAGGTACCCCTTGTCTCCCTGCTTTGGACACCATGTTAACGCTTGCGTGCGTTCATGTTATGTGTTGTATCCTTTCTCTACTCATTCTACTTTTATCAATGCAATGATATACAAGCTTTGCGTATTTGAGGGAAGACAAATATTGTTTGATTTTTTGCAAGGTCCAGTTGTTGTGATTAACTGTGATAATGACACAATAAATTAATTGAACCATATATTAATTTAATTTCCCACCATATGCTGATCTGTTTTGCTAAAATGCTAAAAATCATATATTAAAGCCGATCAACCCTTAAAAGATCACCCTTGCAAAATCAATTTTTTTTGAGAAAAAACGAGACTAGACATGACTTGCCCTTGGCGACATTTTTAGACAGGAGGAACAACCACAAGCGCACTGTGCGAGTCCAGGACCCCAGGGCACGAGCAATGCTAGCCAACCGAGTGGCTCTCAGTTCTCGCAAAATTAAAATTTACACATAGGTCGCCAGGGATTTTTTTTTTGAAAGATCCAGCTCGGCTGACATTTCATTCATTAAACAGAAAGAAGGCGGGAAAACAAGTGTTGATCAAGTGATCATGGAGTGAGGGAGAGGTTACAGGCCTGCATGCAGGCGGTACTGCTAGCTATTTCTCACGGTACATCCCCAAACGGGTGCTCCATGCATTTCGCTCCGGCAATCCTCCATTGCTCCATGTCTCGCCTGCAAGCTTCAGTGATACTTCTTACGCATGCAGTCTTGCCTCTGAAAGTGCATGCGTTGCGTTCGCTCCAAATGTGCCAGCAAACGAGGGCCAGTAGCGATTTTGTTCCTCGGCGATGTCTTGGGGAGGCTTGGTCAATCATCTTTTTGCCCCGATCGGCAGTGGTTGTGCCGGAGCTCCAGCACGAATGCGCCAGAGCGCTGCAGCCGCCCCATGAGGCCACATTGTCCCAGGCTTGGATGGCGATCGGGCACTCCCAGAAGAGATGCGAGGAAGTCTCGAGGCTTCGGAAACACAACTGGCAGAAATAGCTGTTGGTCCATCCGCGGCGCTGCAACCTGTCGCAGCACCATAACCTGTCCAGGTGGAGTAGCCAGAAGAAGATCTTGATCTTGCCTGGCGCCCAGATTTTCCAAATCGATCTTCTGAAGTTGGCAGGCTCCGCAGCAGTCGAAGGTGGGAATTGGATGTCGTATGCCGAACGCGCCGAGTACTGGCCAGAGCTGCTGATCGTCCATCTGATCGAGTCTTCCACTCCGTCTTCCATTGTGATGTTGGCTGCACGGATCTCTCTGGCCAGCTGCAATACCATGGGCATGATGCTCTCGTGCTCACCATGGCGAAGGTCTAGGACCCATCTTTCGTCATGCAACGCTTCTCTGACCGATCGGTTCTTCCTGATGGAGCGCGCGAAGACGGAGGGAAAGGCCTGGCAAAGCGGTCTACCTCCTAACCAGGTGGAGTGCCAGAAGGAGGTTGTGGTGCCGTTGTCGATGGTGACCGCAGTGCAGGCCGCAAACAGGCCCTGGTCGGCGTCGTCGCAGGGAGTGCTAGAGACGACCCAGTGACAGTCCGGCCGCGTCCACGAGTACCAGAGCCAGCGCAGGCGTAGCGCCCGGGCGAATTTTTCTAGGTCCTGGATGCCCAGCCCGCCGCTGCGCTTCGGCGAGGCGATCGCCGACCAGCGCACCTTACATTTCCCACCAGAGATTTCCTCGTCCTGCGCCCATAGGAAGCGCCGTCTTGCTTTGTCCACGTCCTTGAAGAATCTCTTCGGAGCTCGAAGGGCCGTGAGGGCCGAGAGGACGCACCGCACCAGCACTCTTCTGCCCGCGATGTGCATGAGGCGGCCTTTCCATCCGGCCAGGCGTGCTCGAATCCTGTCGAGGATGAACTGAAGGTGTACCAGCCTAATTTTTCCAACAGTGATCGGCAGCCCTAGATACGTGGTGGGTAGCGCAGCGACGACCCCCCTGAAGCTAAGCAAAATCGCGCCGAGGTTTATACCTTCGCAGGCAATGAGAATGATTGAGGATTTTTCTAAGTTCACTCGCAATCTCATGCACTCGCCCGTGGACTATGAGAGTACACGAACCATTCCCATTCATGTCGTTTTCTCTTTTGCAAGAACAAAGTTCGATAAATTAATTTTTTAATTAATATATTTCTTTATTCTTTTTTTCTTTGAAAAGAGGTCCGGGCTCTCTATTTTCCATTGATAATCCTTCCTTTGTCCTTGATGTTGGCAGTTGGCATCCACGGCCAATAATTTCTCCCTTGGGCGAGTCTTGTACTCCCTCCGTCTCAAAATATGTGCTAAGTCAGGAACATTTATTTTGAGATAGAGGGAGTACGTTATTCTCCACTAATTTTATCATTCTCAATAGTTAGCTAGCTATATATGAGGTGAGCCAAAATAAAAATAAAATAAATGAAGTGAGACAGCAAGTGTCAAGTGATGATCGAGCAGCTCATGCATGCGCCCCGCTGGCTTAACGTAGCACCTAACATATATATGCCGGCAGTGATGTGACCTGTAGGGAACATTCTTGGATGGAGATGATGATGCAACAAGTCACCAATTATTATCAACGATTAATTAAACCATGCTTGTTTTTTGAGGAACCAACATGCACATATTTGTTTGAGTGTGTATAACTACAATACGTACTGAGCAAAAATAGTAGTAATGTACTCTTTGGTCCATAATAAATCAATGTCATCGATCATCATATAGTGGTACTCTAGCTTGACTGATAAGGTGACACATCAACTAGCAATTTTTTTAATCATTGTCTTGAGTATTGATACAAATTATGCTCGGTGCGATGATTGGTTAATGAAATATTTCTAGCTTTTGGTTGGTGCCGACGTACGTCGTCCCTGGCACATCCATTTCTCCACTCTTATTACGTGTACCTATAGCTACATCGTGCATGGAACGACGTTGTAAGTAGTAGCTTGTAGTTAACGTAGTACTGTTGAGCTAGGCGATATTGACAGCGAAGTAAGTATATAATCAAATAACTATAGGCCCATGGGTGCAATGCAATGGCACGCACCGATCCATCATTCACCCGCCGGCACGCACAAATGTCAAAGCTAGCACTCACAGTCTTGTGCCGACAAAGACTATTTGCAAGGATGACTTGTACAGTCTGTCATGGGTGCACGACGTACCGACAAGTCAAGGGCATCGTTGACTAATACAGTCTGTCGTACGTGCATAATGTTATTCCGGATATGAAAAAAAATGGCACTATGGCAAACCCGGATATATAGCTAGTGTGCACGCGTGACCTTGGACACTGTGGCAGAAAAGCCAATATACTGGACCGTCTCTATTTTTTCCAAGGAAAACAACAGCGTGTCGACCGGATGATTTTATATTATGTTTGCACGTACAAATAAGTGATTACACAAAGTTATCTGTCAACCTAGCTCTTGATTTTTATCTATCCATAATTATTATTTTTGGAGTTTGAACCTTTTCTTTGAGAAATGATATTCTACCATGCATGTATCCACCGTTCGCCATTGCTTTAAGATTGTTTTGTTTCATAGTGTTGCATTACCTTTTCTTGTTTCAAAGGTTATCATAACATTTCTCTGTGTACCAATAAATAAGAGTGCACTTGTTTCAGAATGAATTTGCCGAGAAACAATCAAACGCGGTGATACAGTTTGAAATAAGGGGGAAAATGTAGTACTTTGAGACAAGATTTTTTTTTCCTAAAAATGAGAAAACGTAACACGAATCTCAAAACAATGACAGATGGTGAATGCACACACGGTATATCACGTGCATCGTACAAAAACCAGTCTCTCTTATCTTTGCTCTATAGAGCAACATGCAAAATTCCTTCTTGGAGATTCTTATGGGTCTAGAGAGATGGGGATGATCTCCTCTTGAAGGTGAATTTTTTTTTTTGAAACAAGTAGATGTAGTTATTAGTGCATATGCAAAATGCCGAAGTAACCAGGACAATAATTTCCATCAAGAAAGGCCTGCCAATCTCTCAAGGACTGTAAAACATCTCTATTACCACCCCGCAAAAAAAAAAAAACATCTCTATTACCAGGTCTAGCTTCCACCGTCCATACATATTGATTTTCAAGACGGCTTAAACACATGATATAACCTCATATTATCTGTGACTCATTTATAAATTTAAATTGTTAATGTATGTGGTGACAGGGCCGTGTGTGGTAGATTTTACCTTAGTAGCTAGTGTAAATCGTTTTTTCTTTACCTTGTCCTTAGAGAACAGAACAACACAGGAATAAAAACAAGAAATCAGTTAGTGACTAAAAAGGTACACATTGATCCCTCCGTAGACATGCATGCATGCACAACATGAAGAAACAAACTAACACAAGAATCCAAAAGAGCAAAAGGCGGAGTTCCCTTTCTTCCTTCCTGTTTATTATAAATTCACTCAGCATACATCAATCAATTACACACCAGTTGCCATGCCATGCAAACATGCATGCATGCAAGTTATCTCTTTACAAAGCCCAATTAACAAACATTCTTCACTCCAAAACCAAAAGATTAGGAAAATTTGAGAGAAAAAATATCAAACACAATAAATTAAGTGCACCTTTGGAAAACCTCATTATTTCGTCTATGGACAGATCGGATCAGCAGAATGAGCTAGAGAGAGAAAGATCAGATGTGAGAGGGGGAGAGATACTCCTTGATCATGTATGCATGCATGGAGAAAGCAAAGCATATGTGCACATGGATATACCAGCTTTCTGATCGATCATGCGTTTGGTCCCATAAAAAGGAGGGAGTGTGCACCACTTTGCATGGCCTCCATGTTGGACGGTGTTAGTACTTCTTGATCATCCCACATCAGCAGCTGCTCCTCGTCCCACTGCTCATGCTGCCCTAGTTGCTCCCCCTCCTCCTCCTCCAGCTCCGGCCGCCGCCGCTGCCTCTGCTCGTCCCCGAAGCACCCATTGCCCATGCCGGCGCGGGCGCCGCAGTGATCGTCCATGGCTTCCATGCACATTCCCATGGCACCCATGCCGTCCACCAAGGGAGGTAGGTGGTAGCAACTGGGCGTGTCCGCTTCCGCCATCGCTGCCGTGAAGCTGGCGATGAACGGGTGCTGCTGGGCCGCAGCGGATGCGAACGGCGTGCTGACGACGCCGGTGTCGAACATGAAGAGCGGGCAGTGATGCGACATGCCTGGCGGCGAGTCCTCCTGCCCGGCCCCGGCGGCAACCGGCAGGGCTAGGCTGGTGCTCTGGTGGTGGCCGATGATGGCGTCGAGCTGCAGGTGGTCCCCCGCTGGTGCGCAGCTGAACGTCGGATGCTGCAGACGGCGGTGGTGGACGTCCGACGTGGCCGTGCTGCCGCTGCACGGTGCCAGGCCGTTGTTAGGTGGGCTCGTCGATGTCGTGGACGAGGTGGTGGTAGTTACGTTCGGCGCCGCCGGAGCCTTGCGTATCTTCTTCTTGATCCACGAGTTCCAGTAGTTCTTGATCTCGTTGTCGGTCCGGCCAGGCAAGTGGCTGGCAATGTGGGCCCACCTGCAATACGAGCGTAAAGGTGTTTACGTCAGTAAAGTCATTATGTGAATTTTTCCTTTTGTCATCACTAAGCTAGCTAATTTTGGTATCTTTGCCCTGAAGAAACCCTAGCTAGCTAGCTTTGTGCAGTAGTACGTACCACTTCATTGACTTGTTGTTAGGGTAGTCGTGCTCAAGTTTAACTAGTAGAAAATGACGGCTAGTATGGCGCCATTTGGCACGTATACATGGCGTCATGCTGATGTTGCATATACATAGACTAGCTAGACCAGAAATCTTAATTAACTTGGAAAATATCTTAATTAGCGATAGCGCGCTCCAGAGAAAACAAGCTTGTGGCCATGCATGATCGAGCAATACTTCAAAACACCGTTTCTTTTTAGGAGATTTGAAATCACTTTTGTCACCTGCATGCGACATTAGCTACAGAATTGCTGGTAATAATCAAGTAAATGATGTATGTCACCAAGATTTGGCACAGGTCAGATGAGTGGTT